ATGATGGATTGTAAGTTATACGGTTATAAAGGACCGCAAGAGGGAATAATTACTCTCACCTGCTTGTTTGCTAATATTAAAAGAGGTGCTCCTTGTAAATCCTCATGCCGAAGTACCTTTTCTGATATACAAGTCAAAGTCATTATATCATCAATGTGTAACCACACCCCCCCCCCAAAAAAAAAAAACAGATTCAGTATTAATTGCAGTTTCCAGCAAACACCTAAGACTTAGAGTACTGTAAATTTATAAACTACAATATAAAGATCAATCATACTAACCAAGTGCAGACTTGGCATCTTCAAAGCGTGAGGGACATGCAGCATCTATAACAAATATCACAGCATGCGCTTCTTCATAATATTTCTCCCATATTGATCTAAGTCCAGGCTGATAGAAACCTTGCATCAGTACCTTATAACCCAGAATAAAGAAGGAACAGAACAAAATAACAGACGGAGAAGCATGAAAGGTACATGCGCTTTGTACCAAATGATACATACTACTTCTGGCCACATGCAAGCAAGCCAGCTGAACAAAACTATTGCATTGATGAGATTATAATCATAATCGGGAAAAATAAAAAACAAAAGAAGGGAAGAGGCATCAATAAAAGAAATAATGATATTAAAAAAAAAAAAAAAAAAGAAGCATGCTTTGCACAGACACAAGTCCTTTAGCTTTTAACAAGGTTAACAAACATGAGCTTCAGACAGGGAAGGGTGAAACCAGGAAGGCAAATTGCAGGATTCAATAAACAAGTAACAAATTCTAATATATAGCCAGAAAAGAAAAGGTCGCAACGAATATGTAGCAAAGATAAAAGTAGAACAGCAATGAAGCAAAAATAAATTTCAGAGTAACCTTCGGAGAGGGATCCTATGAAGTTGAGAATCTCCTAGAGTAATGGAGTTTAAGGCTTCAAAACTTCCATTGCCGACCCTTTTTACTACTTTTTATAAGAGGAAAAAAAACTTTAAAAAAAAAAAATACAACCTCATCAACTCAACCACATCACAACTTTTAGAGGATTCATTTCAGCCTTTAACCACATAATGGAGACAGGTTTCCTACAAAAATCTTGAAATAAAAATATCTTCTTGATTTTCCAGTACTTCTGTTTTAGCCTACCAAACAAGCATAGAAAACGCATTACAGAACCATGTGAGTCATTATAAGTATAAAACCCATAGAAAGAAAGAAATTTAACAAAGTAACAGCATTGGAGCCTTCAGCAACCAATAAAGCCAGAATAAAAAGAAATATAATTACTTTGCAAACTCAAGTAGATATTTCATCTGAAAAACACAAAGAATACATTTGCTACTTTAATGCCCGTACCTGGCCTCCCAGGTCCAGAATACAAGTTTTGAATTTGATGCTTCTATCCGACCAATGTTTAGTCCAACGGTTGGAACAATTCGATCAGGAGGAAGCCCTTCTAAGTTAGAGTACGTGGATTTCAACTTCTCCAATAAAGTCTACAAATTCATGAATAATACCACAATTCAGATAAATGAAAGAGAAGTTTTGGAAATTAAAAAAAAAAAAAACAACTCAAGGCTGCGTTACCGTTTTTCCAGCCTTGTCAATTCCAAGAATAAGCACATGAAACTCTATCTTACTGAACATATATTTCCAAAGGCCGTAAAACAATGTAAACATTGCTTCTTGTATAAGCTTGCTTTGTATATTATCTCTGACTCTCTCAACCTTCAAGAATATAAGTATATGAAGATCATTCCATGTTACATGATAGCTCCTCTTATCAACAGTTTGCTGTCTTGACTACAAAAGTAAAACGTTCAGCTTCCTTGTTCAAGTCAAGGTTGTCACCCGTGGATGCATGAAAATAGGGGACGAAGTCTGCTTGAGCATGCCTTAACAGGTGGTCCTTCGGTTTATCCCCATTTAATTATGAATACCCCATTTAAGTGTCATATTAGCAAATTCATATGCACAGCTTGATAATGCACCAACAACTAGATTCAACTTTACCGCAAAAAGTAGATTATTTGAAACCAAACGATTTCACTCTGCAAATAGTTGATCAAGGATTCTATACTTGATCTTAGTGGCAATCCATGCACAAGCTGAATCCTACATTCATGATACAGATAGCCGTGCTCATATAGTCATGCTAAGGCAGATATTCGAACCAAATAATCTAAATTTAATGAATTTAACAAATTTTAAATCGAATTGAACCACAAAAAACCACAGAAACAGATCTAAGAGCAAAGTAAGTGGAAAGATCCTCTGATCGCGAGTCACTTTCGTGAGAACAGCCGAAAAGCTTCCTACCCACACCAAAAGTATAGAATTTAAAAACGAATCATTTGCTTTTGAACAACGAAAACCAAACTTAATATGGATAGCCCAAACGAGAAATCATGCATAACCAAGAAATGATTAATGATTGATATACGCAGTCTAGTCTGCAAAAAAGAAATCTAAAATTATAATATGACATCATCCAGACTAAAGAAAGTCATCAAATCAAAAGAGCGAAATAGCACGGTTCATACCTACAAGCTCGACTTCCTCGATTGCCGATCTTTGGCCAGACTGGATGCGATCCCACCACAGTTCTCAGGTCTCTGAACTCGCCGTGTTATGAGGCCTTCGCGATTTGTATATAGAATGCCTATATTACCCTCCTGTGATTGTGACAATTACAGGCGTCGGCATTCGGCGTCTTTCACAACGCATCGTTTGGGCAAGAATATAGAATCGTGACCGTTTGCTTCAATATCAAATTAGCCGTCCGATCCATGGAATTTCATAACTCTGAAAAGTCAACAAGTGGACAGGTTCTTCTTTCGTTTGATTTTTTTTATTTTATCTTATGTACTTATTATATCTTTTACAGAAAGCCTGAACTTATTATTTAATCTGCATTACACTGATTCTTTGAATTTATTGATAATTGTGAAATATTTCGCAACTATTTTAATTTTTCAAATGGTTCCTAATATCTTGTATTCAAACATCATGTTAATTGAATGCAATGAAGAAGAAAATTAAGAAAATAAACAAGTTAAGAGATCAAAATTACAGCAAAACCAAAATTTTAAGGGAAAATTTTCATTGAGGACAGCAGATGGAAATTAATTTCAGACAACCCCAAAAAATTCTAAAATATCACTGCAAGACCAAAGGACTAAACTGAAATTAAAATTAAGAGTAAGATTATAATAATATCCCCATTTTTATTTTTTAAAAAATAAATATTAATGGCCTCCGGAGTTCCGGCCATCGGCACTCAGGTAGCTGCTGCCAGAGGTTGGAACTTCAGTGGTTGCTACTGTAGCTCTGGTAGCCTAAAGTGTTTTTTTTTTTTTAAAATAAGATGGCCAAGGGAATGTTTAAACCCATAACCCCTTGGCACACCAAAAATGATGTGACCACCAAGCTAAATAAACCATTTAATCATATGATACAAATAAAAATATATATAACAAAGCAAACACAAGTGTTTAAGTGTAGGTAAACAAGTGAAATTTGACAATTTACAAATAACGTAATAGAATTCACAATCCAAAATGCAAGTGTTTAAATATAAGTGAACAAGTATTTCGCTTACTCATTTACACTTAAACACTTACATTTAGAATTGTGAATTCTATTACGTTATTTGTAAATTGCCAAATTTTTATTGTAAATTACTAAATTTCACTTGTAAATTGTCGAATTTCACATGTTTATTTACACTTAAACATTTGCATTTTAGCTTGTAAATTCTATTATGTTATTTGTAAATTGCTAAATTTCACTTGTAAATTGTCGCATTTCACTTATTTACTTATAGTTGGACACCTGCATTTGTTTTGTTATATATATTTTTATTTGCATCCCATGACTAAATGGTTTGTTTGACTTGGTGGTCACATCATTTTTAATGTGCCAAGGGGTTATGGATTCAAACCTTTCCTTAACTATCTTATTTTTTTTTTTAAAAAAAAAAGCCTTCAGGCCACTGGAGCTACAGTAGTGGCTATTGGAGTTCCCATCTCCGGCGACGGCCACTTGAGCACTGGTGGCTAGACCTCGGGTGGCCGGAACTTCGACGACCATTAATATTTATTTTAAAAAAATTAAAAATGAGATGTATTATTGTAATCTTATTCCTAATTTTAATTTCAGTTTGGTCCTTTGGTCCTGAGTGATATTTCAGAAGTTTTTAAGGGCTGTTTGAAATTAATTCTCATCTATGATGCTTAATCAAAATTTTCCTAAATTTTAAAGCCACTACACAAAATTTAGATTCGAATTGAGCTCTTTTAATTTTTTTTTTTTTAAAAATACATTGAGCTCACTCATTTTCAATATGCCGCTTACATGATTCTACATAAATTTTTTTATCAGAAAAAACCTAAAAGAGAATTTCTTTTGGATTTAAAAAATAAATAAATTAAAAAAGGGGTCAGCTTTTCAAATTCATTTTGGGACCACCACGGTCTCAGTGACAGCGTGGATCCCCCGTTGGCCGTTTCAATGGATCCAATCAATGTCAAAATATGATATTTAACCCGGGAGAAGGGTAGTCTTGGAAATAGAAAATTGCGAACCGCGGCGAAGATTTCAGGCGCTTGAAATTGCTGCTTATAGAGCAGTTCGACCAACTCCAGCGTTTCGGGGCAATTCATTCTGTCATTGGTAAATATTCTATTTCAGTTTGTCCCAATCATTTTCTTTTCATAAAGACCCATTTGAATTCTTCGCTCCTTCTCGCCTCTTGTTCCTCAATAAAATTGCAGGAAAAATTGAATTTCGGTTCTCCCTTCGAAATGGGTTGGATCATGGGATAGACTCCAATATTATGAACTTGATCGCATGTCTTTCAAATTATCGTTATAGTTTGATGGGGGATCTGGATATTTTGCTTGATTTAATATTCCATTTCCTTACAAGATCCTGATAGGAAGTCAACGGCCAATTAAATTTGCTTTTTGCCTTTGAAGCTCTCACTAGGTTTTAGATTTATGGTTCTACGTTGATTTTCCTATTGTTGGACGATGCTGAAAAGTCTTGAAGCTGGATTTGAGTGTTTTGCGATTTTAACGTTATAATTATAATGCATTTGCTTCTTGCTTGTGGAGTCACGTGTTTTTCCTTCTCAATTCAGTGGCATAAACGTCGTTTTCATTGAAATGTTTATTTCCTAAAATTTTGGGTTTTGAGTGTGAATTGCGCCCATGAATGAAAGCTTACAAAATGCTGTCGAAGTCCCTACTACCGCAAATATTGGTCGCGGTGGAATATATTCATTCATAATATATTCTGTCTGCCCTTCAATAAGGAAAGCCTTCCTTCAGACTATCGATTTATTGTTATCGAAAAACTTTAGATTAATTCAAACGTGGTTCAGGGGTTCAGATCCCAGTCAAAATGGACCACAATCCCCGAGATCCTTTGGGTTAGTTGTATGATCATACATTTAGAAGCGTGGAAAAAATGAAGCATTGTTTATGATTATGATGACTGGAATAGTAAATATTATTTATCTTTCCTTTTCTTGTATGTTTGTCACATTAATCAATGGTGCTTTAGCTATCAACCATTTTCCTTAATAATGACGTGATCAACTAACTTATATCATCTTTATCATGGTGACATATCTGTTTAACAACCCATCAGTATGAGATGGCAGTACTATCTTTTCCCATGTTTGCTTTTTTTGAGTTTTACGGTTGCTTCATCAAATCTAAATTCACATTTTCTACCTCTGAGTTTGTTAATAGCATTTACCGGCTCCTATTGCCCTTTGGTTTCCCACCAAATATGTGATTTTGCAGTTTCACGACTTAACAAAAAATGTGATTGTGCCTTTTCAGTTGTCCAAGCCGCTTGGAGATTGATTTGCATGCTCATCGTGTTTGAAGAGTTCGTCCATCTAGCAAAATGAAGTAATACAAGCATTCTGCTTTTCATTAGTGTGCTTATCTCTTTCTGAAGAAAGTGCTTAATATGAATTAAATCAGAAATCTCCATATTATTGAAAATTATACACTGTAAAGCAATAAATTGATAAATCTAAATCTATTAGATGGGTTAATTGTGCCTTCCCATGTTCTGATTTTTTTATTTTTTATTTTTGGTATTTTCTTGTTGAAGGTTGGCTCCTAGAAATAGTTAAACTTATGTTTTAAAGCGTGCATATCATGAATATCAAAACAATCATGCAGTGCCGACGTTGGTGCTTCCTACTTTGTTTCTGTTTGAAACAAAAAGAGACAGCATCATATTTGTGAAACTAAAATAACAGATTGCAAATGTCCAAGAAAGGTACATGATTTGTAATAGGGACCTGTAAGATTCAGGGAATGGTCCTAAGTTGCCTTGACTTGCCAAGACCATATTACTCTGTAAGTTGGAGAACACTGCAGCTCCATTGCCCCTGTGATTTTGTGAAAATGAAATTAGCTATTGAAGTCAAATAATCATAATAAATGAAAGTTTTTTTATCTTGAAATCATACTGCTGAGAATGGATGAGGACTGTGACAAGTTATGATTGATTGATAAGCTTATTTGTGTATGCTGTTAGGGAGATTCACTATCATCATTCCCATATTTTACAGTTTTGTGTTTAGTCACACTGAATGTTGGAAGTATGGTAAATGCTATGGTCAGAGGTATGGGATGCACATTGAGGTTTTTGATAGCAGGAAGATGCTCTTTTGGAGACAGCTTCTAACATTTTAGATGATTAAAGAATTGGTAGTTGAATGAATGCTGGTATAAAGTGTCATCTAAATAACCCAGGATGAAGTGAAGCCAAAAAAAAAAAAACAAAAAGAAAAAATCAGGATGACTTACGAACACATTGTTATATGACATATATGTGGAATTACCCTTGGCTTTCTTACTCTAAGACTCTATACTTTGTCATTCAAATCTCTTCAGAAGTGAGCAGACTTTTCCTTCAAGTCCTTTAGCAATTTTAAGACATAATGAACTTTTCCAGATTAGATTATTGAGAATGGGGTCCTGCATCGTTTTTTAATTTTTTTTGTTTTCTGTTTATAAGCATGTGTAAAATGTTCTTAATATTAAGAATCTTGCACCTGTTATCTCAAAACAGGGGCCGTGTAACATGGGATGAGGCTAACATTGAAGAAATTGAGGCAAACAAACCTGTGAGGCAGAAAATTACTGAGCCTAAGACTCCATATCACCCTATGATTGATGACGATGGTACGTATGTGAGGCACTAGAACACTTAGACTGCATGCTTCTTCTACGTCCTCTCGCACATACTGCATTACGACCGTTTGTAATTGTATGCATCTGTGTATATACATATAGAAATGATATATATCTTTTATTTTGGCAAGTTCCTAAGTATTTTTAAATCTGGGGTTGCATTGATTGTTCTTGTAATGAGTATTTTCTTAATAGTCATTCTGTTAAGTAATAAAATTTTATTAGCCCTTACTTGGTCTGATTTTTAAATACTAAAACATATTGATCTATTTGTTTATGTAGTTGAAAGAAGATTTATATCTGTAATTTTTTTTTCGGTCTCACATTCTAGATCTTATGCAGTTACTAATCACCTTAATTCCTAAACTTATCAGATTCTCCAACTCTTCAAGGAAGCTTTGATTCGTGTATTGACAATAACAATATCACGGTGGTAGCTGAAGATGGGGCCTCTTGTAGTAGAAACAGAACTGGACAATCTAGTGGCTGGACGTCTTCTGAGGACGAATCAGACGCAATGGAACAAGATGATGAAGGTTTTCCTTTGCTTTGTGTATGATGTGATTTAAAAAAAAAAACCATCCAAACCAAAATTTAGACATTTATTAGGTGTCGATCTTTATCCGAAATAGTTCTATTATGACGAGTACTTGTTTGATTCCCATGTCATAGAATCTTAACCCGGCATCAATTAAGTTTGAAAAAATCAGGAGCTGAAGTCAAGCAATCCCATCTGATACATAAAATGTGGATCCCACCTATAGAATCCAAATATTTTGGGTTTTTAGATAACAATGAATTATGGATTGGGTTGAAATGACATTTGCCTAACTTGCATAATTGCTCACTGTCAGAAAATGAATTTATGATATCCATTAGTGTGTTGGTGTTAGCTGCTGTGAAATTTAGAATATTTTACAACCCATATTTACTTGTTTGGAGAAATTAGTAATAGTGGCTTTGTTTTGTACTTATCTATTGACATATTACATGCAACACTCTAACCTTGAACAGATCGGAGCCTCAGGTTCAAAGAACACAGAAAAGCTCACTATGATGAATTTTTCAAGGTCAAAGAGCTGCGGCAAAAGGGTTCTTTGCTTGGGGAAGAAAGTGATGAAGATAACATGAAGCTTGGTGATAAGGGGAATTATGACTCAACATCACTTAGTGCAAGTGTGGAAGGGATAGACATTAATGGAAAGAAAAACTCAGACCCTGCACCTAGCTAATGATTTTTGGATGATGATCGTCTAATAAAGCTCACCCCTGTTTTGGTCTTTTATTGTGTGGATACGAAACAACTGTACGGTTCAATTGTATCTTGGGCACAATATGATTATAGACTTTCATTCTTCATCCACAATGATCATTGATCATCTAAACTAATTCGATCTTTTGCAATCTTGTAATCTAGAAAATATGTTGATGAGTCTTGATGCGAACTCATAAGCAAGAATTTTTAGGCAATTTGTTTGTGGGTGTTAGATTGTGCTCTAAAATGATTCAGATGGGGTGCCTGAATATTTTACGGCAGGTTTAGATCCTGTTTTTATCCTCATGTATCACTAGCACTTAAAAAGCTATATCTAATATTCTCTTTTATCTACTTAGTTTTTATGCATCACCATGTGCCCGTCGTTTTTACTGTTGCCGGTGGCTGAACATCCTCCTTGCTATAGAAGACGTTTTTATTGCAATTTCAGATTATATTCTGAAAAATTGAAAGCAAGTGTTCAGCCTTCTTATTTATATATAGAACTAGAAAGCATGGTACTAGAAATAAATATATTAAATGGTTATATTGAATTTTTGTTTATATAAAAAAATTTTAAATGAGTTATTAGATGATTATAATGATTTTGATAAATATCTTTTGAAAGCTATACCTGAAAAAAAAAAAGTATTTTAAAAGAAACCGTTAGTAAACATAACCAGTTGTGTGCGGAGGAAATTTATGCAGAGAAAGGGTTGGGATCTCATGAGGTGCAAATGGCAGGAGTATTGATTTGTTTAATACAGACAAACAAAAAAAAAAAAGAAGTGGAAATTTGACAGCCCTTGGATTGTGATGCTCGGCCGAAATAAGTGAAAATCCCTTGGCCCATATATGCATGAGTTAATCGTTAAACTGAAGAGCTAACTTTTTGACTTGGGAAGAAAATGACATTTTGGAGCTTTTTAGAACAACAGTTGAAAACCCCGGGAAATTAAAAAAATGCCAATTAAGGATTGAGATTGTCAGCGTATCCAAAGCAAACAATTGATATGGGGGAAAATTGCACTAAGGTCTTATGAAACATAAAATATAGTTTTAAAAAAAAACCACACTAGGTTGCGAATCAATCAAAGTCCCAAAGGATCTAATTATAATTTAGTAAGACGTGAAAAGGTCTTGTTATCTCTAATAACATTCACATAGAATCGTTAAGAGTTGCCTCATTCCATTTCAAAATCTCGCTCTCTCTACTCTCTATCACTTTCTCTGCTTCTAGCCGCCTTCCCTCCCTACCATTAATTGAAAATGTGTTTGAGATAAATTTTGAGATTCTTGATCCTCTGGAGGCTAATGTGGACTATTTTCTGGTGTTTTTCTTGCCTGAACAACCTGAGTTGTTTTTTGGCCAACTGGGTTACCTTAAGCACAATAGCTTTTGAAAAAAAGAAAAAAGGAAAAAAATTGTTATCAAGGAAGGGAACTTTGGGTAATAGCATTTGTTTTATATTGATAAAATATCTTTAATTAATATTTTCAATTTTTAATCACAGTATCCACGTATTACAGGGTCTCCTTCTCACTACTAGATGCGCAACTGGGCATCCTTCTTTCTTCTCACACAGACAAAATTCCCATTGCAAAAGCTTAGAACCGGTTCAGAACCTCTCCTCTTCCTTCCCATCTTCTTTCCCTTTCTTTCTTTTTTAACCATGGGATTAATATTTTAACAGTTCAGATTTAAATCCTTTTAAAATTATTATTAAAATATTAAATTATAAAAATAAATAAATAATAAATTACAAACTATATTGAAATTTAATCTTAATTGTTTGCAAATATACTAAATATTTTTAAGTTTTTTTATAAATAGTTTATAAAAAATTAAAATCTAAACTATGGAAATATGCTAATCTAATAATAATAAAAAAAAGACAAAAGAAAAAAAGAATATGTTCCAAACCGCTCACGACGCTTAGCTGGATGCCTGGATTTTTTTTTACCAGCGATGCCCGGATCTATTCATTGCTCAGATTTCAACATTACATGAGCTGTTTGTTTAACCACAATTTACAAATTATTTTTTAATGATTTTTTAAAAATATTGATGATCCAAATCCAACCCTTTGGTAGCCGACTCTAGAGATGGGAAGGGAGGTGGGAGGCTAATAGTGGGGTTCATTTCCTGTTTGCCCAAAAAGGAATAAATAAAAAAGAATGATTCTCACATGGCAACCGCCACAAAATAAATATCTAACCGCAGGGCGGGTCCCACATACTTTACCAAAAAAAAAAAGAAACCCCTCAATAACACCAAAGTCGCTGACTCACTCTTCCCCAAAAGCCTAAGATATTTTTCAGTCCAAAAAAAAAAAGCCAAAGATATTTTCACCCCCTTCTCTCTCATTCCACGGCTACCATCTTGCCCCTGGGCCCCACGCTCATCCCCTTCCTGTTCATCTCCATGCATTTCGAATTTAATGCTCCTCTCTTACTTTAATTAAATGCTCTTTTATATTAGTAAGATGATTTGGCTCATAACCCCCCTGGTGCCTGTTCTTTAATTCTTTAATTTAAAAAAAAAAAGAATTTCCCTTTTCTGTGTCATTTAAAATTTATTATTTATTCCCATATTCTTCCACGTCTACCTGAAAGAAAATATCTAAAGCCTTCCACGGTTTAAAACTCCAAGCATGAACCCTGGTCAAAAACAATTACTCGATTATATTTTTATGTGTCTGGATAAAATATCTATCAATCAATCACTTATGCGAAAATATCTTCGGGTTCCAGATCAACGAGTTAAAAACGTCATTTAGGATCAACTTACGAGTCGTACCTCGTTTCCCGTTCCCGTTCTCGTTCTCTCGCCCGCTCTACAGATTCAGTCGCTTTGACCGCTGATCTCCGTTTTCGTCCTCATCGATGATGCAGTCCCAGGAGGGGCAAGTACCGACGGCGGCGGCTGAAACCGCCTCGTTTTGGACGGACGAGAAGCACTTGCAGTTTCTCAACTCTTTAGAAGCCTCTTTCGTCACCGCAATGCTCGGAAACAGCTCTAGCTCAATCCACTGCCTCCGCCGTCACCTGGTCGACGTCTCCGAGTCCACGTCGGATCTGAATCCCCACCGCACCGCCTCCGTCAACTATACGGTTTCAGGTAATCATCTTCGTGCTTCCCTCTCCTTTCTTGTTCTTTCTTTCTCTCCGTCCCTTCCGAACGGAGATGTTTGAGGCAGCGTTTGGTTCCGCATTCTAAGAAATTTGAACTATCCCGGGAGCGGAGGGAGTGGTTGTTTCTGATGCACCGGGTGCTTCATGGCTGGTCGGTGGCGGGGAAAGCGTTGGATGGTTTTTGACTTGACGCAACTCCCCAACCAAACAGAACTTTACCATCCTCATTTCTTCTTAATTTTAAATTAAAATAAATAATAATCTAGACACAGCTTTCGTAATTATATATAGTACATGTTAATTTAATATATTTTAAACAATTAAAATATATATATATGTGTACATATATATATATATATATTTACTCTATATATCGAGTCACATTATTTTTTAATCGCGCGCACCCCTAAGTCTTCCCCTGGGAAGTGCTACCCACAGCTCAGCGCAGGATCAATAATTCCGTCTATACATTGAGTCATATTATTTATATTATTTGTGTTGAATTTATAAACATCAGAATATGAAGATACAGTTACTGTAGTTATTTGTTTGAATTTTTTTTGTTTAAAAAAAAACTAATAGGCGTAGTGACAAAAAGAAGCTATTGAAAAAATCTTAATATAAATGACCAACAAATTAAAGCTCTCAAATTGATATCCAAATTACAAGATTATTTGTACGTGCGTGATCAGCCTATCGAATGCCTCTGATCCTTGATCAAAATCAAAAGTGGGCTGAGTTTTTTTTTTTTTAATTTTTGTTTTCTCTTAAAAATCTTTTGTGTTAGTATGATATTGTTGGTAGAAAATTGAGGGTGCAAAGTTGGCAGGATTGACGGGTACTAACGGAGGAAGGAGAAGGAGAGGGAGAAGAAGTATGAGAAGAAGATCATCATCTCAAGCCTGCAATTCATCATTCCAGGATCAGGTACGTACCTACTCGGAGCCCTCTCTATATGTATCTCCCCAGCATCAAAACATTATGGTTTTTGCCTTACACATATTAATCTCAATAATTAATATGACCAACGATATGACGTAAAGATTAATTAATATGTGTGTGTGATATAGTCTCACACAGTGAAGTTTGGGAGGATGAGATTAGTGTTGCGTGTGGATGTTGAATGAGTAGTTACGAATACGGATATTTTGGTGGGCACGATATAATGGACTTGTTGGACGCCAAGTGAAATTGAGTCATATGATTCATTGAGTCGTTTGTTCTTTTACTTGTTTTGTGTGTCCCCAGCTAATGACGTGTGTGTGTACTGCCTACCAAGGAAAATGAATTAATGATATTCCAAAATATGTTTATATTATATTTATAAACCAAATAAGACATTATATGTGAAGAAGTTAATTAACAAATTGGTCTGGAATAGTATCCTCCCCACCTTAATATCGCTATGAAGATTATTTATTGCTTGTGTTCACTAATATTCTTTAATCTGGGTTGGTATTCCTTGCATGTATTGACATGATATATCCATACATACATACTTACATATTCCCATTGGTATAGATAGTTGTCATAAAATTTGTGGTCCCAACACCATGAACAGTGAAAACTTTTCGCATGTGCTGTGTGTGTGATTGTGTAAGCTTATCGCCAGAAACAGATCAGTAGGTGGATCGCAGATAATTTTCAAATCACTCATATATGCACACAGACTTCTCTAATAAATTGCTACCAAAATATTTCATAGAAAGAAATCAAAGAAAATTTTAAATTTCATTAGTTTTGTCTTATACTTTTATTTAATATATATACCTTCTTGGGGAAAAAAATTTACAAAATCAAAATCAAAATTTTTTTGTCTGTCTGACAAATAAATGCATATATCCTGCGTGTGAGTATATGAACGGAGAGTAAGAGGAGATGGAGAAGTTGGTGGGCTTTAGAAAATAGAAATATAAAATCAGAGGCACAGGGAAGCAATGGCAACGGGTGATTTACATGTGTGCGTACCTTGCAGGTGGTCCCACAGATTGAAATTGGACAACAACATGATATTACCGATGATTCAGACCAAGCAAGTACTGTCGACTAGGTGGTTGCTGCATGACAGCACCCTGCAACAATCCTTCTCTCTTTTCTAGTTTCTTCTGTTGTTTTTTTTCGTTTTTATTTTTTTTTACAGCATTATCTTTTTGCTAGAGTTTGCTCACAATGTTAGGTCCTTTTGGGGTACTATGAATAGTATGAACCCTAGTTCTAACATGATGGTATTTATTGAATTCCGCACGGACACTTTGGATCCGCACTCTAATCTCAACAAAGCAGAATTTAGAAACCGAGACGGATGTGTACGTCCACTGTCTAATAATTAGTCATTGAAAATATTTTTGTAAGATGCCCTCTAAAGTTTTGGTTGTGAATGGAACGCAAGTAATTGCTTTGCCAAGGAATTTACTATGCACATGCAGAGAAATTTTTTTGAGGCTTATTTTGCTAATGGAGGGCATTTTCCTTGACGCCCTCTTCCTGATTTCTGACCCACGAGTCCTTACGCCTGGGTTCGAAATTTTTCTAGCTCATGTAATCACACGCGCGCGCACGTATCTATGTATGGATCGCGCTTTTTTTTTTTGGTGATTTGGAGTATTCTTAAGTTATTTTAAATTTCAAACTAGGTTCTATTAAATCACGAGCATTAAAGTTAAAATTGTTCTAATAAGTACGGTTCTCGGCTTTTAAACTTATGTTATTCTCTTGATGAAAATGAAAGCTCTTATCATTTTAATAATATATTGTTGGTATAAACGTAGCATTTTATATCTTCCTTGTGTTTTCAAGTGTAACTATCTACAACTGTTATCCTATTCGCCAACCAAATTTGGTACTCGCCCAGTCTTAAATATAAATTACTTCTCCGGTCCTTATTATAAGACTCAATTTGACTTTTTATTTGGTTCTAATATAAGACCCAATCCATTTTCTCTCTTATATTTATGCATTTTTTTTCAAGATAATCTTTTAATAATGATAGTTTTAGCCAATATACTTAATTAGCAAATTATTTTAAGAATAACAACACTTATTTATATAAATAACCAACTTACTACTACTTCCTTAATCTCCTCAAATAAGTCAATTGGGTCTATAATTAGGACCGGATGAGTACATAATAAGTTTTATATTTATGATTGAAGGGAGTATATAATATTAAATTAATGATGATTATGCCTTAAAAGTACTGACTAAATTATATTTAGGACCGAAGGAGTATATAATATTAATATTAATGATAATTATGCCTTAAAAGTTACGTGACTAAATTAACATACTTATCAACCAAGGTTCAACGCGGCTGTGCTTGTTTGCCACAATATATATATATATATATATATATATATATATAGAAACACACATAAATTATGAGCACTCTAAGTTTATCAGATCTGGATTATTTATATCTGATTTGAACGATCCAGATTTAAAATATTTAATTAATTATTTTTAAAAAACTAATTTTTAAAAGAATGATAGTTAAAGATCATCAGTATTTTAGATTCTATATATATTAAAATAATTATTTTGAATAAATAAAAAATTAAATCCAGACCATCAAAATGAGATATTTGATATATTAACAAATTAAAAAACATTAAATGTAAGAAGCCAAAGAAACATTGAATTGGAATATTTGATATTTAGTGCGACCCATTGAGAAGGAATAAGGAGGGAAAGTGAGATGAAGAAGTTGTTTTTTTTTTTTAGGAACCACAACAAAATTCAACAGCAACAAATACAGGAGAAAATAAAGGGTCTGTGTGTGTATGGCGCTTGTGAAATGTGGTTTCTTGTTGTTCAAATTTAAAAGGGACCTATGAATTGTGGAGAAGAAACATGTCGCTTTCGAGTGCTTGGATGATTATGAGAAATCAAAAATGGGAAGAGGGTTCCAGAATTGGATAAGCAGATTAGGGAATTGGCATAAATTGGCGGCGTCCAAAAAACCTCACACCCCAACAGGGGACCAACCCAGTAGTTTGCTTGTCATCGGCTTCTGCTTCACCCTACGCCCAAATGGTTGAAACCCCTTTATCTTCAAAATAATAGAGTCCAAGCCAAGTTCATATGCAATCCAGAAATTTTTAAACTTTCAAGGTAATACAAAGTAATCCCGAGAACACCGAATACTCCTGGCCTAGTGGTGACTGGCTAGGCCACAAGTGAGGCGAGTCTCTGCTCTTTCAGGGCGGGAGTTCGAATTCTCACTTGTTAAAAAGGGTATCGAAGAGGGCTTTACTTGTCGCTCGGCCCGAATCCGGACTAGTCGATCGCTCGGGTACAACTGGCCCAAAGAGGCTGGAGCCCAGAAAAGGCGCGGTTGGATACCGGATGGTTTATACCAAAAAAAAAAAATCCCGAGAACACTTTCAAAGTATTAAGCGTTACAGTCTGTACATTAATAATCCAAATGGATATTATGAAGACACCACAGATCTCAAATTCTGAATAGGCGGACTGGCACACGGCACGTATGGAAACCAGAGATGTTGAGGCTCCAAGCAATTACAAATGCTGTATCCATCAGATTGAACCATCCATATATTCCTTTATTTACAATTCTATCCTTTCCCATCTCTCTCCACTCTCCTAATGGGAGAATCAGAGCACCATCTCACTTGTTTACACCCATTTTAGGGCATTATATGGGCACAACAAAGACCAATCCCCCGAGTGCTAGTCCCTTTCCATGTGGAGATTTTTTCCCTCTAAAGTTTGAATAAAATCTCACTCTTTTTCAAAAGCGTATCTGACCCTGATAACTCTCGGAACCCAAATCATCTAGGCTTTGTTTCACCAAAAAGAAATCTCACTTTTTTATCTCCCAAATAGTGAACTAGTTTCTTTGCATGCAAAGAGCCGTGTTGGAAGGTACCAAACGATAAACCCCTGCATTTCTCTAAATAATCTGACTAATTACATATGTTAAAAAGAGTTTTCATTAATAAAGGAAATTTTCAATATGAATAATTAGGTGGTCGTTTTAGGAAAAATCAATAGATATGTGTGTTGTGTATAATAAATAATAATCTTCCCAATTATATTTTTTAGTCTCCGTAAATTGGTTATTTATATCTGATAATTAGATGGGGCATAATAGCATATGATAACACCAGCAAAGGTGGTCTAGCCCCACAAGAACACGGTTGAAATTCTACTGCACCGCTGATGCAAAAGCTTTACTGATAAATAGCGCATACGAGGATATTTATTATAAAATACTGAAATTACACTCAATAAAAATTCTTGGTTAAAACTTTTTGATAAATTAGTTAAAAAAATTTATAATTAGTTAGAAATCCTATATAAAAAAATTAATACTTACAAAACATATTATTATATTATGTTATACCGAAATTCTTATAATAAAAATCAGAGGAGCAACAAATAATAAATATAAGTGTAGAGATTAGCTAGTTATTATTAAAATAAGAGCAGAATAAAAGCAACTATTCAGGGAAAGATAGGCGCCTCCATTTCTTCCATGGTCATGACATGTATGATACATGTGTTGACATTATCATGCTAATTCACATGAGAGCATGGAAACGAAAACAAACAAATAAACGGAAGTTTCTCGATTAAAAGACGTAACGTGGTACCTTCTAGCGTTTTCCTTTCCTTTTCCTTCCTCCTTTCTCTCTCTTCCCCCCTTTTCCCTCTTTCATTCCATTTTCTCTCTCCTTCATAAATTCTCATGAGAACCTTCTAGAAATACTCTCATCGTTCCTCCCTTCCTTCCCTCCTTCCACTTTCTCCCTCCTCTCTCTTCCTGGCTCACCTTCCATCGATGCCCATCATGAACCCTCCCAAAAGCACCACTTTCAGGTAAATTTTTACGAGTTAACCTCATCTCAAGGTTGTATTTTTCGGGCTTTTCTGGCTTGTCTTATATGGCTCCGCCGCCGGTGGATCACAACGGCGAGTCCACGGCCGGTGACACCCAGAGATCTATCCCAACGCCGTTCCTTTCCAAAACGTATCAGCTCGTCGACGATCACATCATAGACGATGTGATTTCCTGGAACCAAGACGGATCTACTTTCATCGTTTGGAACCCTACCGAATTCGCCAGAGATTTGCTTCCTAAATATTTTAAGCACAACAACTTCTCCAGCTTTGTTCGCCAACTCAACACCTATGTAATTATCATATATCGTCTTAGTCTTCTTCTTTTCCAATCCGTCGAATCTTTCATTTGATTCTATTTTTATTATCTGTATATATGCAGGGATTCAGAAAGGTTGTGCCTGATCGGTGGGAATTCTCGAACGAGTGTTTCCGCAGAGGCGAGAAACGACTTCTGTGCGAAATACAACGACGGAAGATTTCAACGCCTTCGACGCCGACAACGACGTCCCCGGCAGCGAAGGCCGGGACCACTGCGACTGTGGCGGTGCCGGGGCCGGTGCCGTTGACTTCTATACCGACGGCGATGCCGATCATCTCGCCATCAACCTCAGACGAGGAGCAGGTGATTTCGTCGAGTTCGCCGTCCTCGAAAGCTCCGGCCGAGCTCATGGACGAGAACGACAGGCTGCGAAAAGAGAACGTGCAGCTGTCGAAGGAATTAGCGGAGATGAGATCTCTCTGTAACAATATTTTCTCTCTATTATCTAACTACGCCAACAACCAAATCGATGGCGCTCTGCAAGGAAAAGACACCGTGAAACCGTTGGATTTAATGCCATCGAAACGGAACTCCGGGGAGGAGGAGCCGCCATCGGTGGAGGAGTTAAATCCGAAGCTGTTTGGGGTGGCGATTGGTGCGAAGAGAGCGAGGGAAGCGAGCGGGGGAGCGGAGGAGGAGGACACACTGCTAAGCTTGCATCAGCCGGGGCCAGCGGAGGTGAAATCTGAGCCGTTGGATTGTCAGAACCATCGAGAGAACCAGGAGACGCCGTGGTTCAATCATTGCGACAGAGCAAATAGTGTGTGTAATTAGCACACACCAGTGAGGGAATACGGTTAGATTAGAATAGGAACGGCGCAGAGAATCCGAGTCCCCACAAACGGAGACGCACGTACGAGCCAAGGGTCACGTGCGCGGGGACCGATTCCGAGAAGCTTCTCAGAGGCGCATTCACAAGAGTCTGCTTCTTTGAAAGAAAATTAGAAAACGATACCCTCTCTCTCTCTCTCTTCTTTCTGTAGTTAACTATTTTGTTTTTTCTATTTTTGCATTGAATTGAACTTTTTATGTAGATCCATATTTTTATTTAAATTCGTCGCCCCAAGTAAGTGAAATACATGTGCGATGTGCCCTTTTTATTTCATATCTCTTGCTTCATTGACTAGTCACGTTGAAGACGAACATTTTGGTTGAGAGATGTGTTCATTAAATGAGCAGCCAGATAGTGGTCACGCATCTAACATCCCATGGATAGGAAATGGTAGGTGATTATGGCGAGGACAGGTAGCGGTTTGAGAACCTTGCAATAATTATCATTGGAATTTTTCGTTTAACAAGTCAATGATAATAATATGAGGTTATTTGAGATCGTGTTCAAAATTGTTTATAGATATATTTTATGTAGGCTGAGATAAAATTTTTTTACATACTTATTTTACGTTCTCAATTAAATAGTTACTTATAAATTATTTGAAATCTTTTAATCGTATAAAGAGTGATGTATTAATCGTATAACTCTAATTATTTAATTTTGTGAAGGTAGAAGAGAATGAGATTTGAATGTTGGCTCACCTGTCAATAGCAGCAAGAAGCTTCCGTGTTTATTGTTTCCATCTCTTTTTTTTTTTTGTAAAACTGAAAATAAAAGAAGGGGGTAGATAGAGTTGGATATGATATGGATGAAGGAGGGGCTTAGTTGGCTTTCGTTGTCAAAGGGTGAACAGGGGAAATTCCTTTTCTTTGATTTGGGAGGAGCAGAGCAGCCAAACGCAGCAGGATTTATTATTAATTAAACAATTAGTATTAGGGGTTGCGTAAAGAGGGCGGAAGTAGGCTCCAGAGTTCAATGATTGACCCTCCACCACCCCCGTAAAAAGTCAAACTTCCTGGCCTTCCTTGATTACGCTTTCTTGTTCCAAAAGGGCGTTTAGAAATGAGAAACTTCATTATAAAATGTCGCTTTCGCTTTACATTACTTTATTCAAAACCACTTTTTGTTTTTTGAGGTGTTTTATTCAAAATCACTTCTTTTTTTTTTGAAGTACAAGAGAGCGGGTTCAAACCCCCACACACACCCAACACACGCATTCAAAACCACTTTAAATGAGTGTTTTTATACTTCACGGGACCAAGTTACTATTAGTACTATTTAAGGAGAACTTCTATAAAATCTCAAATAATAAATATAATCATTAAAAAATCTCAGTAACAACAACATAGTATGTAATAACAAATTTTATAATAATAAATAACAACTACTTAGTTATTATTCAAATTTATTGATAATTATTTTCTTTTCATGGACCTCATTATAATTTTTGCAAATATTTTATTTGTTCTTAATAGAAGTAACTTTATTATATTTATTATATTATCTTCGGTCTTAAACATAAGCTCTCATTTGTTAATTTATGGTCATATGGATTATTTTTTAGGCATGTATATATTAAATGAAAATACAAATATTAAAATTTAAAAGAGTTGATAATATTTATTCTTTTTTTTTATTTTGTTAGAATGTACTTAAAAATGCCTTATAAATAAAGAAAAAGTGTAACTATTCGGCTAGAAAATAGCAAAGAGCAAGGATACTGAAATTACGCCGTGGAAGAATGGATCAATTAAAGGATGTAATTTTGGTCAATTATCTTAAATATCAAAACCATAGGAACAAGCTGTTGATCACTTCTCTGCGTACGCTAAGCTTTCTTCAATGTACTTATCTGACAATTTAGGAAAGTTTACTCACAAGAATTCTCTTAATTGCTTTGCATGTAAACAAGAGAATTAAACCTTGAAAAGGTTTCGTCAATATTCAATATAAAATATTACTCCCCCATTTTTAAATACAAGACCCTTATATGTAAGACCGGAGGAGTATTTATTATTTATAAATGATAAATAATTCAACCAACTGTTACCGTTATAACATGGCCCAAAACCACACTTGACCTACAATTGGTGGCTCGGCCCAACAAACCACAGTTTCGGCCCAGACAGACAGGCATATTTTTAATGCCCGAACGTGGTTGATTCTAAAGTTTTAACGCTTTTCGTAAGGAAAAAAAAAATGATCCTTTTGGGGCTTGTTACTTAACACCTAATGTCTGGTTAAAAAAAAAAAAAGCTGATGAGAAATGAATTCTCACTGCCTACTTTTTTCATGACTATTTGCCTACTTGTCATGGTTGTTGTTGGATGAAGTTTAGAGCGATAAAATTTAATAGTAGTATTTTATAAAACTATCAATGAAATATTATATTATAGTAAATAGATGGGTAAATGTAAACTCATTAAAGTTTTATTTATAAGTCATGGGCACATATAGTTTACTCAAGATATATTCTCATCTTTTGATCCTTGTATATTGTAAATCGTTTCATAAGACATTATGGGCACATATAGTTCTTCAAGATTGCTTCTCATCATGTAAGAAACATTTCGGAGGAATCAGTCAACATGATGAAAAGATTTTGATGTAAATTAACTACACATGCGATTACAATAATACTCAGCTATTTGTTAGATCAGTTCACATATTATTTCCTATCTGAATAACCATACTACCACCCCTGTTGACTTGGATATTCTAAACTACTCTCCTTTGATACCCTTCAAAAGCTTGAACACCTGAAGCATGGTGGGCCTGTTTGCAGGATTGTCAGAGAGGCACACACAAGCAATCTGCAGCATCCGAAGCATCATCTGCTTCGAATCGGCATCCAGAACCTTTGGATCAAGAACATCAGCAGCCTGTCCCTTCTTGATCTTCAGAAAAACCCACCCCACCAGATTCCCACCTTCAATGTCTTTGAAATCAGGCCCTGTTGGTTCTTTTCCAGTCACCAGCTCAAGCATAATGACCCCAAAACTGTAGACATCTCCTCTTGTTGTGGACCTACCACTCTGTCCATACTCAGGTGGAATATACCCAAATGTTCCAGCAATGTCAGTGGTGATGTGTGACTCACAGGCACTGATAAGCCTAGCAAGTCCAAAGTCTGCAACTTTAGGCTCAAAATCTTCATTAAGCAATATGTTGCTAGCTTTAATGTCTCTGTGAATGATGTGGGGGATGAACCCGTGATGAAGGAAAGCTAACCCTCTGGCTGCACCAGTTGCAATTTTGTACCTTTTTTTCCAGTCAAGCACTTCAAGGGCTCCGCCAGTCCTGTTTCTCAACCAAAGATCTAAGCTTCCATTCACCATGTATTCATAAACAAGGAGTTTCTCTTCACCCAAGGAGCAATAGCCAAGAAGTGGAACAAGATTCTGATGCTTCACCTTGCCTAAAGTTTCCATTTCAGCCATAAATTCACGATGGCCCTGCGTTTTAGCTTCGCTCAGCTTCTTTACTGCAACTGTTTTGTCATTGGGTAGAGTAGCCTTGTATACAGTCCCAAAACCTCCATCTCCAATTATGTTAGTCTTGCTGAAGTTACCAGTAGCTTCAAGGATATCCTCCAAAGTTAGTTTCAGAAGAGGCTGCTCAAACATTGCAACATTTATACTCAGAGGTTCCTTCGATCTGCTACTGCTCAAGAAATAAAGATTTTGATCCACGTAGTTGTTTAGCTTGTGTTCCTCAAGGTCTTCTGGATCATTTTGCCTCCTAACAATCCATCTATGCAGAACAAATGCAACGCTCAGAGTCATCAGTGTGATTGTAATGGCAATCCCAGCAAGTTGCCAGGCATTAGACAATGAAAATCTACCAATGCCTTTGATTGGGCAATTGACGCCCAAAATCCGCCCACAGAGATTTTTGTTTCCTGAAATTTTAACTCTTGATAGGTTCTGGCAAATACCGCTTCTGGGTATAGGCCCTTCCAATCTGTTTTGAGACAAATCAAGGTAGTCCAGATTACTTAGGCTGCAAATTTTCTCAGGAATCTTTCCATATAACCTGTTCCCAGAAACATCGAGGTACTCCAGCTGCACCAGATTCCCAAGTTCCGATGGAATCTCTGCCATGAACATATTTCCATGAACATCCAAATTTGTCAAGAAAGAAAGGTTTCCCAAATAACTTGGCAAATCCCCAGTGAAGCAATTAACGCTCAAATTCATTGTCTCAATCCTCCATGTCATAGTATTAGAGAAGAGCACCCCTATTTGGCCAGAAAGCTTGTTCTGCTGCACATAAAGACCAACAAGGCTTTGAAGGCCCGATAGAGAGGATGGAAGCTGGCCACTAAGCTCATTAGAGCTCAAATCTAAGTGAGTCAGCTCTTTCATGTTCCCGCAGCTAATTGGAATTGGACCGGACAACTTATTTCCTGTTAAATTCAGCTTCACCAAACTGTCCATTTTCCCAAGACTTTCGGGAATGGTTCCATTAAGTTGATTATGTCCCAGATATATCCTTGTAGCTTGAGGGAATCTCCAAGTTCTGGTGGAATGGAACCTGACAAGAAGTTACCAGACAAATCTAGGGTTGTAAGATTTGTCAGGCGAGAGAGCGAGCTTGGGATACTCCCAGAAAGCATGTTGTTGCTGAGCAAAAGATCCACAATGACCATACAGCTCCCCAGTTCATCAGGTATAATCCCAGACAGTTTGTTATGGGACAGATCAAATACTCCAAGGTGTTGAACAAAGCTCAAATCAGGGATGGCAACTCTGCTAAAATATGAAGATCGTCTTGCAGGAATAGACCCAGAAAGATTATTATGGGACAGAACCAGACATTGTAATTGGCTCAGTTCCACTAGTTTATCTGGAATGGATCCATTCAGTCGGTTATTTCCAAGGTCTAAGGTTGTCAATGAAATGCAATCTCCTAGCTCTAACGGAATATTCCCTTCAAGAACATTTCCATTCAAATTAAGAACAGACAGACCCGTAAGATTTCCAATTTCCTTGGGTATAGTACCCGTCAGTTGATTGTTATTAAGGACAAGCCTCTCTAGAAGAACTGCGTTCCCAATCTCCCCAGGAAGAGAGCCCTGCAGAAGGTTATTTGCTGCAGAAAACTCCATTAGAGTTGATGAATTCCACAGACTTGAAGGTATGCTTCCACTGAAATTGTTTGAGTCAAGATCAAGCACCATCAAAGGAAGCTCTGAAAGGTACTGAGGGATAGAACCAGTGATCTGATTTTTCATCAGTTGTAATTGGATAAGGTTCTTACACCTAACAAATGCTTTCTCAATTGTGCCCGTAAGGAAGTTATCATCAAAGTCAATCTCCGAAAGTGAAGCAGCATTACATAGCTCCTGAGGTATGGCACCTGTCAGCAAGTTGCTTCTCAAACTGAGGTGCTCCAATGAAGAGCAATTCCCAAGCTCAGGAGGAATTTTACCAGAAAATCTATTCTGCGAAAGCAAAACAGTACTAATCTGATTCCACTTTCCAAGCCAAGCAGGCAAGAGTCCATGAAACTGATTCCTTTCAGCTATGAATGACACCATGGGAAGCTCGGAAAGCTCCTCTGGCAAGGACCCAGAAAGCGAGTTGAAAGAAAGCATCACAGAACTCAAGTTTCTACAACTTCCAAGCTCAGACGGTATGGAGCCAGTAAGCTGAGCGAAAGAAAGGTCGAGCAATTTCAAATTCTGAAGCTTCCCAATAAACTTCGGTATCGAACACCTCAAGGGGTTGTAAGAAAGGTCAAGATTAGACAATGACTTCAGTTTCGACATTTCTTCAGGCAGTGGACCTTCTATAGAACTAGAAGGCGCATAAAGCACTTGAAGCCGCGAAAGCTCCCCAAACTCAGGAGGCAATCTACCCGTAAATTTATTAGAGGCAATGTAAAGAGCAGTGATATTCCTCAAGTTACGGATTTCTGGTGGTAGAGAACCAGAAAAAGAATTGTTTGAAACGTCAACGGAAATCAAAGACAGAGTTCCCGTGAAAAGAGTCAAGGGTAGAGAACCTGAGAGAAGATTGTTGCTGAGATCAAGGAACTGAAGATGGCACAGGTTTCCGATGCTTTCTGGAACGGTTCCGGTGAGGTCATTACCAGAAAGGTCGAGGACACGGAGCTGCGACAGGGACCCCAGCTCCGGCGGGATTTTTCCGGTAAATGAGTTGGAGCTGAGTGCGAGAGTTGTAAGCTGAGTCAAACTGCTGAGCTCGTCCGGAATTTCCCCAGAAAACTGATTATAACTAAGATTGAGCTCCCTCAGGTTTCTCAGATTAGCTATCCGTGGAGGAATACCGCCAGAGAGTGCGTTGGAGAATAAGTTAAGGACGGTAAGGCCGGTGAGGGAGAAGAGGGACGAAGAGAGTGGGCCTTCGAGGTGAAGAGTCGGAAGAGAAAGTGAGGTAACTCGGTCGAGCTCACAAGCAACGCCAACCCAGTTGCAGTGTGGGGTTGAAGAGTTCCATGAAGCAAGAAGCCTGGGGTTATGGAGACTGGTCTTGAAAGAAAGGAGGTGATTTTTCTCAGGGTTTTCACCAGTGTAGTGCGTGAAAGCACAAGCAAGAAAACAGCAGAGGTGGAACACGAAAAGGCAATGAAGAAGAAGATTGAAAGGAAAAGCCATGGGTGACGGAGAAAAAGGCAGAGGTTTCAGTTAGAGAGGAAGGAAGGGTTCATGCGGGACAGAGAGAAAAAGATGAAGACACGGAAATGGGATGGCATTGCAGAGAGAAGGAGGAAGAAGGAGAAGAAGAAGGCATGAAAGGCGTTGGCTGGCAAGAACGAAATACGGAGGAGGCAGTGAGAGGGAGGGAAAGAGAGAAGTGAGTGCCAAAAGAAGTTAAGTGTCAGGTGGCAAAACGGACCTCACGTGACTCCGCCTCTCGTAACAGCAAAATTTTCAACACCCAAAAGATTCACGTTTCAAAAGAAACTACGTTCCATTACCACCTCAATCATGCAAAAATATATTTAACTAAATTAATCAAATCACCAATTGGATCACACTTATTCACTTATTATTAATATTAATATTCATGTCTCTTGAAATTATAAGTCAGTAATTCATGAATTTGAAAATAAAGATATGATCTTTTTAAAAATATATATGGACGTAAACTACTAAACTTACATGTTAATATTTGAATTACAATTGTTTCAACTTAAGTGAAAAAATGTATTAAGTATAAAAAAAATTAAATATGTAAGTTTGAAAGAATAGGGTTAATATAATTTTTAAATTTTTAAATTATAGTATATGTGTTATTTATTTACTATATACGAGAGTATGAACCTCAGTTTACTTGGTACCCTGTGTTCTTTGTAAAATGATTTTCAAAAATTGGATGATCTGATAGGAATTATTACACAATCATTTTGTGATAAAACCTGTATTATTAATACATAAACATAAAATAAATTCTCCCCCATTTTTTTCCAGTGAAATAAAAAATAAAAAAGCTCAGAGCTGGCCATATAGTCAACGAAAAAAGGGCGAGGCAGGCTTAGGGGTTTCAGAAAACCTGGGTTTTGTCGCACTCTCTTTTTTTGCCCTTTTTTTTGAGAATAGAGGCTAAGCATGTCTGTCTCTCTCTCTCTCTCTTTTATTTTATTAAAAAAAATTTGTCTCTTCATGCTTTATCTTTTCCAAGAAACAGATATACTCTAGAATAGGAGTGATGGGATTCGGCCAAGCACTCCTAGGCTTCTTTGTTTCTTTACTTCTTTATTGTCAACTTCATTATTACCCTATTTTCTCATTGCCACTTTTGTAGTTTCATGAGTTAACTCGAGAGGAGTTGATATTGGTATTGGATTGAGTTTCAAAACACACTTTATTGGCAATGTAAATGCCTTTTTTCCCTTAAAAGAGGTGTTTGGAAGCAGCATTTTTTTTATAAAACGAGACAAATTTTTTTATATATTTACCTCGTGTATTGTAAAAGTATTTTTAAAATTATAATTTGATTTTCATCTAAACACCCTCTAAATTAATTAATACGGCCATGTTGATATAAACTGAAACAAAATTTTTCTTATGTTTTGCAAATTATTTTTGAAAATTCTAATTATTACTCTAAAAAATTTTAACCTTCAAGAAAATACTTTTAAAGAGAAGTTTGCCTCACCACAAGTCAGAACTTTAATTTAAATTAGTTACTGTGACAAATAACCCTACAGATACAGGTTGTGAAGGCCAGAAACGGCTTATGAGATTTCAATCAAAATTTTCCCTAGGGAAGTCACTATGCAGTCTTAAGAAAAAGATGTAATTCTCAAAAATTTTATAACAAGTAAATAACATTTGTTAATTTTTTTGGAGCGAAAAAAAGTTTTAGTATTAGAGATGATAATAAAATATTTACTACTCACTTGTTAATTTTTTTAGCATTTATATTATTTTCTTGGGAATAATTTCTCCTTCTTTTACCCTGGTCAAAAAAAAGTTTATAATTCTTCCATCAACCTTTGTTGCTTTATCGTCAAAAGCATAAATCTACTTTGCTTTTTAAAACTAATGATGAGTAATTTAAATGACAAATACTTATTTAAAAGATTGCAAGCAATACAAAAATATAATAAATTGAGAATAGCTTTAAATTCCACAATAACCATTAAAAATATTTTTCCAATTTGATGTCTCCATATGACTTCAGCTATCTATAATTTTCTGCTTCTTCTCAATGATTAATGTATGATCACCAAATCCCTTGTCTTTTCATGCTCTGCAAATTATGTTTTCAAAATTAATTAATGCCAGTTATGTATTTTTTTTGTATTTTAATTAACAAAAATTTTAAATTTATAAAAATTGTCATTTACTAGTAGTATCACTTCTTGACGGTACAATAATACATATAACTTTTTGTAAAAGGCATATTTGGGCTGATCCTCTGAGACAGAGGGCAGGAAAAAGGGTGGAGTAGTGGAGTATATCCGAAGTTAAGTGACAGAAACGCCCTCGAGAAACGAGACGAGACTCGGGATTGGGGATTCTGATGCGAAAACGGGAAGGATGTTGCTGGGGATGTGGGGGCATTTTCGTCATTCAAGGATGACAAGGAGATTCTCTTGAGAGCTCATGATATGAAGTGACGTGGGTGAGATATTCTGTCCGTAAAGCTCATCGGGGGAATCATTATTTCCATTTTCAAATACTACCAAACTTATTTTATTTTTCATATTTATTTATTTTTTAAAATAATTTTTATATTATATATTAAATATTTTATCAAATGATATTTTATTAATAAAAATTTTTAAAAAACAATAATTATTAATTAAAAATAATCATCTTAATTAATTATTTTAATTTATTTAAATTAATTAATTAATTTTTATATTAAAAACAAAAAATAGTGTATTTCTAAGATGCACAGTCTTTATTAATGGATGGCACTTTACTTTTTTTTTTTCATGGAAATATCCAGTCTATTTTTATTTACAAGTTACTTATATTTAAACTTACAAATTAAGAAATGTATTAAATTAATGATATTTTTATAATTTATCCTTGTTGTACAGAGCGTATTAAAAATATATTAGTATTTTCTATTTTTCTCACATATTTATTTTATTTTCTTCCACATTTATTAAGTAAGTGGAATAAAATTATAAGAAATTCATTAATTACTCTATAAAATTTTCATATTTAGAAATAAATTTTTTTTATAAGTAACTTATAAATAGTAGTAACATAGTATTATTTGAGTCAATCATTAATATTTTTGCTATTTTTACTAATGATATTTGTATAAAGAATAAAAGTGTAATTTTACCAATAATCTTATTCTCAAATGTACTTAGCATCACGGTCTTCTTTTTTTTTTTTTTTTTTTTAAATTGGCCTGAAGCATCACTGTCTTTTTAACAGAACCATCTCAATGTATACTTTACTTTTTTTGGTCATCGAAATGTATAGTATTTGAGTCCGTAAATCATTAATAAACACGTTAGAATTAAAATTAGACGTTACATTATTCAGTATATTCACCAATAATGAATAGGCTGAATAGAAGATGTTCAATTCCCTTTGAATAAATACAAGTTTTATAATAGTAATTAGAAGAATTAAACTCCTAATATCCCATTATGGCAAAAAAAGAATTAAATGAATAAAAGAATTCCTGATATCTCATAGTTGTGGAATGTGGACGGCAGATACGGCAACATGACTTATAAATGATAAATACTATTTTGCCCAGCAAATAATAAATATCTCCAGCTAAATGATATCAAGTTATAAATGTTACATATTCAATCATCATAATCAAACATAATACCCCCTCTACTCTTAAAAATAAGGCATAATTTGAAGATAGGATTTGATTTTAAATATAAGACATGAATCTATGTTGTCTCTCCAATTTATAATGTCTTTTCAAAATACCCTTATTGACTATAAAGGATCTTCATCTACAATAGTTTTAATGTACATAATTAAATATAATAATTTAGAAAAATCAACACACATTTGTTACAAATAAAAAACTTAACTAATAGTTTTAATCTCTATTAACAAGTTATCTAGCCTTTATATTAAAGATGGTAAGTAGTATGCCGTGAAAAACTACCTATATTTATAATAATTGTATATCTCTTTGGTTATTAATATAAAACCTATTTAATTAATTTGATTAAATTAGCGAATTAGATAAGTTAGTTAATAATAAAAAATATTATATGTTTTTTTAAAACACCATAATCATCTTTCTTAATACTCTCTCTTTCTCTCCTATTTAATTATGATTGAGAAAGTATTAGTAAAAATTATTTAAAAATATTAATAGATATAAAAATAAGTTTTATATTTAAAACTAAAATTAATTTAATAATTAGATTTTATATTAAATCCACGCGATGAGCGTGTGTGCATTTTAAAGGAGGCGGTGCCGGAGGGGGAGATGGCTGCAGTGCTGAAAGGCCACATTAGCACGAGCATGTTTCCCCGGCCATGTGGTCCCCCCCTTAACCTCCAAAAATGTCTTCTCCCTTATGATCTACCTCGCTTATCCCTTTCACTGCTTTTTTAAATTATTATTATTATTATTATTATTATTATTACTTACAGTGGCAGACTCCAATAAGCATGTTCCAATCCAATCCAATCTCTCATCTACAAGCGAGTATTGGTCCTACTACACCATAAGTTTACGAGTAATTCTTTTGTTACTTATTGTAAAAAATAATTTATCAAATCATGTTAATAAAAAATTAGTCAAGGTTGACTAGATACAATAAACATGTAAAAAATGTAAAATTTTCCTAAACATATCCTTATTTGTAAGGGAGAGAGAATAAGGAAAAGAATAGAAAATTTATTAAAATACAAAAAAAAAAAAGATTGTGGAAGAAAGATATATTGATATGAGTGACTTAATAGGGGTAAGGTTAGATATAGAAGGAAATTAGAGTGAGATGGCGTTTGGTTTGGTGGAGCGTTATAAATATTAAACACTACTGAGTAGCAAAACAGGTGCATGAATATCAAAGAATAATAAAGAGGGCAAGGTCTGTGGGTGAGAGGTGCGTTTGAGGGAAACGTGCACGCTTACAGGACCATCCCAAGGAACTGCAGTCTTTCCCAAACTAAAGAAAAAAACACAGAAAAAGCAAAAAAAAGAGGGTCTGGTTTCCCCAGTTTGGTGATTGACAATTCTGGGAGGGAACTGAAAGGCGAGGCTTCAGAAAGGAAACTAGATTGTGAAAGATTGTGATATGACTTTGCGTGAGTGGATTGGACGCAAACGTCTATGAT